CAGCAGGAACCTCACAGTGCAGTGCCTTTTACTGTCTGCACTGAACAATTGGTCTGATCTCTGTGGACTAGAGCCTAACTCTGCCTCTTAAAACTTTTGTGGAGGGGTAAAACTGGGTATTCAAAAAAGAAGTTAAACAGACAAGAGGCAAGAGGGTAGAAAGAATATTATTGGAGGAGAACAATGTTCATCATCTGCAGTTCCTTGGAGTGGCCTCAACAGCAAAGGGCATTCATACATGTACCTTTTTGTGCTGTGATGTGCTGGAGATCCAGTGCGATTAATTGAGTCTGCTCTGCATGTGAGCTGATGTGCCAGACGCTGTCTCACATGCATTTGTATAAACAGTGAAATGCACATCACCACTGGGAAAATGGCAGCGGTGTGCTTTTGAACTAAAACACCCTCGATGTGTTTTTCAAAAGTGCGCTGCCACCATTTTCTTAGAGCTGATGTGCATTTTGGTATTTATACAAATGTATGCGATGCAGCACCAGACACTTTCAAAAGCATCTGGTGCTGTGTCACATACCTAAAAATGCCCTCCCAAGTTTCATAATGAACTTGGGAAGTGGTGGGCTTCATTTCCAGGTGGAACAGCTGCTCACAGTGAGGTTGCCTGGTGCCAGCACAAGCATGGGTGATGTATGTGCACTGTAGAAACTTAGCAGTATGATCAGTTGTGGGTCAACAGCATTTCTGTCATGATAGCTTCCTATGTAGACAAAAGCTAAATCAAATTCAATTTTCATATTTATGAAACAGTTTGTTAGGTATAGAAAACAAATCATGAGCTGACAAGAAGGCATGCATGGTTGGCATATTTACATGGGATGCACAGGTTGAAGTGAAAGGCTCTAAGCTTTTTCAAGCCTGTTTGTGGCATGGAAGGGAGTTGCAAGAGGAAGGGGTTCTGCAGTGGTGGTGGTAAGGGGTATCACGGGAATATTTGTTACTAGTTTTATTTTAGTAGCCAGCAGTTTTTTGTCTTCAGTAAAGATGTGTTGAAATCCAAAACTCAAAACTGAATATTCACAAATTTGACAGTTCAGGTCAAATATTGTGGTTGTGGCCCATTCTGGGTTTTCAGTAGTTTGAAGTAGAGCAGCTGACAGAAGTTTCAGGGTTTTCATATCCACCTTTGAAACACTCTTACATACACCTTGTACTTGCCAGTGCTACTGTTTTGATGTCCAAAAGGGAAAGATTCCTTTCAGAGTTTCAATTTTCCTGGTTAAGTGGAGTAGCCTTTTCAAAGTAAAATCAATTCACTGATGTAAATTAGGCATTCTGCACTAAGTCATTTGATGGAAAAAGGTTTTTGATTGAGTCTGCTCCTCACCTGAGATGCTTAAACACCTCATTGGTTCAGACCATGTGTGAACACGAGAACATAGAGGTTACTTTGGAAAGGACCTACTTGTGAAATCCCATACTTAGTCAAATCCAATGTGGGGGTAGGGGGGAGGAAACTTTTTCCAAATGGGAGAATAGGGCAGTGCTCTGACTTCAACCCCAAGCCCAGACTTGGAGCTACAGTTGCTGCCATATCCACCACCCGTCTCCTTCCCTAAGCTTTTCTCCTTGCCACCACCCCACTACACCTTGCCCCCCAAAAGTAGCAGGGGGCAAGTGGGGCAGTTGCGGGGCGGGGGCAGTGTAGGCCACACAGGGGAGCAAGTGGGGGGGCAGATTCCAAGGGGCACAGACACAATGGTGGGAGGCAGGCAGCAAGGTGGGGAGGATGAGGTAGGAGGGATAGCAGCAAGAAACGAGGGTCAGACTATTTGACTCCTCTCCTAGCCCCTCATGGTCTGCCCTTTTGCCACTGCTTGCCCTACTACAGTGGTGGGGGGGAAGAAATTTAAGACAATCCTCCAAAAATTAGATTCTATGTATGGAGAAATGTACCAAATTTATAAATTTTCCATGTTCAAAATCCAATTATTTTGGGGTCTTAAATTCAAAGTGGTCTTGGATTCAGGTAAATGCTGTATGTAGTTCTAGCATGTTCCCAGAGACCATAAAACCTATAAAATCATCAGGAGTAGTTCCTTATGCCAATGCTGTCTTGTTTCCATATGACTAGGTTCCTTTACTTTTTCTCATATGCATTCAGTCTGTTGATGTGCTACTAGTTAATCTGTCAAAATCAGAAGTATATACCTCTGATAACATAGAAATAACTAACTTCCACCCATTTTTAGAAAAGTGGCTAATAATTGGGTTTCCCTCTGGCATATCCAGACTTCTTGCATATTCCCTAGGCTACAGCACTACTACAACATGGAAGTACATATGCTCTTAAATTCTCTTTACAACATATGCAATGAGCCAGCAGAGGGAGCAGAGAGACCATCAATTTTCCATTTAAAGTTCATATTGTTTCCTTTACACACAAAGTCTTTTCCTCTTTAAGAAAAGTATTTTTGTTAGCGATAATTTGGCACGAATTTAAGATGATCTTTGATGGTGGCTTCCATGCGACAGTTGGAGTCACCGTTGTTATGCAGAGACATAGGGCTAGCCCAAATGCGCTGAGAATTGAGCTTCATGCCCCCTCTACAAGTAGAGGCATGATGGGATCCAATGCATAATCCCACAATTGCACCTCCTGCCGGGCACATTTGGTGTGGCTGGAGGCACAATTGTGGGATCATGTATTAGATTGTATCACGTGCGCCTTCTTGCCAGTGCAGGGGGAGGCTGATCCCGGCCCCTCCCTCCCGCCCTGCACCAGCAAAAAGCAGGTTCCTGTAGTTGGGAGCCCTATGCAACCCAGTGGAGGGGCTTCCAGCTGCATGGGTGCCCATGCACCCCTGAGGCGGGGGAATTATTCCTGTGACACTCCTCTGGATGTGGGGGTTTTATGTGCCCCCAAAACTTGTGGGTCACAGCTGCCATGATCCCTGGGTCTCGGGGGTTTTTCACTGGACATGGTGCATCCTAGCAGCATGTGCAAACTAAAGCTCGATAGCAACCAGCTATAAAGTTAGTATACATTTTTTAGGTCTAACTTTATAGCTGGTTGGAGCTTTTTATTGGGTCATACATGCTTTGGGTAATTTGTAATTATCCAGTTTATTGTGCAATACCTGTAATGAGTAGAGGGGACCTCAGAAATGTGGTTTGCTTTCCAAACTGCCACTGATATCATGTATGGCCTTGACTTGGACCTCGATCAAGTCATTAAAACTGCTTTTGCTTCGGTTTCCTTCCCTCTAAAATGAAAACAATGCCCACTCTGGGACCTCGGGTTCTTGGGAATGGGGAAATTCAATAAAATGGAGGTTTGGTTCAAGTTCAACTATGGTAAATCACTTTCAAATTCACATGAAAACATGCTGTGTGTATAACCTATACAATATGTGGAAGGTAGTAGCAGTGATTGAAAAATGTTAGGGTCAGAGAACTACAAATGTTTAATTGTATTTATTATGTCTAAATTATAAAGTTATGGAAAAAAATTAAGTTTCATTGCTGAAAAATTCCTTACTGAAGGACAGAATAACCCAGTTTAGTCTTTTACAGCACTTTTACATGTGCTCCAGCGGTGGAGGGGGGCAGTGCTTTAATTACAATGGCTCCAAAAGCCACTTGAATTAGAGTGCGGCTACATCTCAACTATCAGCGTCGTGGCACTTAAAAATAGCAGGAGTGCTTGAACTAAAGCTTTAGTTCAAGCACCCCACTGCCATTTTTAAGCGCAGGGTTGCTGATACATGAGAGAGGAGGCTGCTGGAGTGCGGTAATTGCCACGCTCCAGCAGACTCGATTAATTGAGTCTGCTCCAATGCACTGGAATTCCAGTGGATTGGAGCATCCTCCGCACTCGTGTATAGGCACCCTCAAAGTTGTCTGCCTTTTGAGGCTGGTAAAGCCCTTTATACATTTAAGTTTTCAGGGACATTGTTTGAGTTGCTAACAACT